ACTCAGGCTGGTCTCAAACTCCTGACCTGGAGCGATCTGCCTGCCTTGGCCTCCCAGAGTGCTAGGATTACAGGTGTGAGCCACCGCGTCCGGTCTAAACAAATTCTTTACTATGCAAATTCACTTACTTAATGTTTTTTATACAAACTTCAATAATATCATTGTTTCTTTCATGATTTCTTTTGATTCTTTCACAAATTCTCCCACATCCATCTCTTGTTTTCTTTCTTTTCTTATCATTCTAGTCCATCCACACCTGACTGACCACAATAACTTGAGGGCTGATGCTCTTGTCACCTAACACTCTACATCTATATTGGAGTGCATATACCTCATAATTTTTAACATGTCATACTTCTGCTTGAAGTTATATTATTATCCTATTTAAAAGCATTCTAATGGCTTCCTGTCACACACAAAATAAAATCTAGCTCCTTTTCATGACTTTCAAAGCTCTATGTTGTCCAGCCTCTGCCTATCCTCCTTCTGTCCTCCCTTCCCTCCATTCTTTCCCTCCTGCATTGTGTTTCAGCCACACTGGCCATCACTCTTTCACTGGAGTATGAAAGCTCGTTTTATTCTCAGGGACTTTGTACTTGCTGCTTTTCTGCTTGGAATATTCTTTTCCCAGATAGTCACACTACTAACATTTTCTCATCATTCAAGCCTCAACTCAAATATTACCTCCTGATAGAGGCCTCTATGTTTATTACCTACACTAGGATATAAGCACCTCGAGGGCGGAGACTATCTAATTTGCATATTACTGTATTTCCAATGTCTAGAATAGTGAATCATATAGGCATTAGAAAAATATTTGTCCATGAACTTCAACTCCTTTTGAATTTTTAGAACATTCATTCAAATACTTATAATTATGAAGGCCATCAACAAGAAAAACAAGAATTGAGAGAGAAGAAATTATAAAGGATAGGTTTTTGGAGATGGAAAGTAACCCTAGTTACAAGGTCTGAGAGGTAAGATGGAATGCAGAACACAGTTGGCCAAAAATATAAACACTGATTATTTAATACAATAAAAATAAAGTCTTGTGGGTTTAAATATGTAAAATTAAAATTTATGAATTGGAAAGGAGGATTAGAATTCAAGTTTTCTAAGACCCTTGTTTAATTTTAAAACACAGTCATGTGGCAGGGATACATTCTGAGAACTGCATCATTAGGCAGTTTTGCCATTGAGCAAACATAGTAGAGTGTACTTACATAAGCCTAGATGGTATGGCCTACCGCACACTTAGGCTATATGACAAAGCCTATTGCTCCTAGGCTACAAACCCTTACTATGTTAATTACTAGTGTTCCATATCCCCACTGAGATCATAAGCACCTTGAAGAAGGTAAGGTCCATAATTTAATCAATGTTATATAATACTGCCTATCAGAGTGACTGACATATCACAAGTGTCCGTTAAGGTCACTGAATGAATGAATGAATGAACAGATTAATAAATGAAGATGATAAAAAGAATATTCATAAACACAGGGCATGAATACTGCTAGTAAATAGAATGACATTTCAAAGGTGTTGGTATAAAAGGAGCAGCAAAGAAAGAAGAGCTGGCCGGGTACAGTGGCTCTCACCTGTAATCCTAGCACTCTGGGAGGCTGAGGCAAGAGGATTGCTTGAGCTCAGGAGTTCGAGACCAGCCTGAGCAAGAGCGAGACCCCCATCTCTACTAAAAAATAGAAAAAAATTAGCCAAACAACTAAAAATAGAAAAAATTAGCTGGGCATGGTGGCGCGTGCCTACAGTCCCACCTACCTAGGTGGCTGAGGCAGGAGGATCGCTTGAGCCCAGGAGTTTGAGGTTGCTGTGAGCTAGGCTGATGCCACAGCACTCTAGCCCAGGCAAGAGAGCAAGACTCTGTCTCAAAAAAAAAAAAGAAAGAAAGAAAGAAGATCTGATAAAGAGAATTCTGAGGGAGTATCTACGTTGGAATAAAGCTGCCAATTCATTGTATTCATCAAAATTGTGTAACAGCTAATTCCAGCATAATCTCTATAGGAATTAACTGTGACATCTAAGAATGATTGTACTGGAGCATGGGTGAGTGCATGTAATTGTTGTTGTCTTACAGCTCTCAGTATACTATATCAGATGAGCTCTTAACATTTCCTTCTTTAGATCTCACATTATGAAGAATGGCATTTATTTTTAATTCATTTTTGTCTGAGTCTTTGAAAGGTAGTATAACTATATAAAAACTGATTTGCTACTACCCCAACACCTGTACCCTCCCAATATTACATGCTTTATGAAGCATTTGGAAAAATGTCTTTCACAGGAAGAGGCAGCAGGAAAAGAATAAAGAAATCAGTTTTAGTAAAGCTCACTTAAAGAAACTTGGTTAGAGATTAAGTTTCTAGAATTTTGTGTCAATATTATTTTTACTCCTGTCCATTTAGATTTCAGATCCAATTTAAGAATGACTTACTGAAAAGTTTTTCTGTTCTCAAAATTATAAAAAATAAATTATTAAATTCTGAAAAACTTGTACTTAAATCTAAGTTTTTAAGGCAAATCAGCCAAAGAAAATTTCATCATTCAGCCTAAAATCGAAACAAGATAGAAATTCTATTGACTCATACAAAATTGATCATAGCAATCCACATTCTCTTGAATCTGCTACTGACAACTATGAATCTATAATAGAAAGCAAAAAAAAAAAACTACTTTCAAAATAATTTTTAAGATCGATACTCACTGATTACCCTTTAGAAAAGTATTGTAGTCACATATGCTTTAAAAACACAGACTCTGAAACTGTAATGCCTGAGTTTAAATCCCAGAGTTGGTCCGTCCTGAAAGTGTAACCTAGGACAAATTAATTAACTTCCCTATGCGTCAGCTTTCTAAAGAATGACCTACCCCAAAAACTTTTTTGATTCCCTTTATCATATAGAAACAATTTCCCACCTTTTTGCTCCCTAGCACTGTGTCTATAACTCTCTTATAGAACTTTTCTTATTCTACCTTCTATTTTAATCTTTTTAAATTTTTTTTATTTTAGCATATTACGGGGGTACAAATGTTTAGGTTACATATATTGCCTTTGCCCCACCTGAGTCAGAGCTTCAAGCGTGTCCATTCCACATACTGTGCGCACTGTACCCACTAGGTTTGTGTATACCCATCCCCTCCTACCCGCTCCCATCTGCCTGACATCCAATGAATGTTATTACTATATGTGCACTTAAGTGTTGATCAGTTAATATCAATTTGATGGTATTTTAATCTTTTTTATTCTAATCTAACCCATGCAACAAGTATTCAAGCTCTTTGGAGGCAGTGCTGGTGTTTTACTCATTTCTACACTCTCTAAAGATCAGCGCAATGGGCCTGGCACATAGAAACACCGACATTTTTTTCATATTAAAAATTAAAAGGAATTAAAAATTAAAACAAATAAGAAAAAGTAAGGAATACAGTATGGACCTGTACTTACAATAGATGTTTTCACACATGTTATTTAATTTAACCTTTACACCATTTCTTCTAGACAGTTATTACTGTCCTCGTTTAGCAGTTAAGGAAATTGACGTTGAGGGAAGTTAAACTCAGAAAAAAGTATCTTCCTTCAAAGGGGTTTATCATCTAATAGGGAGATATACTATGTACAAATGCAGTACAGGTAATATATAAATATAATGCTTCAAACAAGTTCAAGGAAAGATTACTTCTAGTGTGGATGATTTGGGAAGATTTTATGGATGAGGCGGCACCTAAACTGGACCATCAAGGATAGGATATTGTCAAAAGATGGCGATTAATCAAAGAACATTTCAAAAAGCTTACATTCATAGTTTCACTCAGTTTCTCCTCTAGTCTTTCCCAGGCAGGCTCAGGGACTCCTCGTTCCCCAGTTAAACGCCAGAAGACTACCTTTAAAAGTTTTACAAAATAAGCCAATGAAACCATGGAATTTAATTGGCAAAAATTTATAGCAAGCTTCGTATTCATAATATAATACACAATGTTTAATAATAACAGATAATATTTCTTGAGTGTTTATTAGGTGTTAGAAGTCTTAAATGTTCCATTCAACTTAGGGCATTAAAAGGAAAAAAAAAAGTCTTGTATGAAGTGCTTTCAGTAGACTACCTCATTTAATTCTTCCAACATCCTGTAATTATACTGCTATCACAGAAAAGAAACGAGGCCTAAAAAGAGACATACAACTTACAAAGAATCAAGTGATTGCTAACCGACAAGGCAAGAGTAAGGTTTAGATTCATCTGACCCCAGAGCCAACTCACAATGCTATACGTACAACTATTTCAAGGTAAGGAACATTTGTGTTGAATCCAAAAAAGAAATCATAATTGAAGCATATTAAGTTTTCAAGTTACACAAGGACTGAAAGCATTCAATGCTATTTAAAAGCTAAAATAAACAAGTAGTTATTGCAGAAGGTAATAAAAAAACGGATCAAATTCTCTTTGATCCGTAGCTGCTGTTTGTATCAATCCCATCTAAAGAAGGAAATATGTACCCTTACTTCACTGCCACTCCTACTCTAGTCGCTTTATTCTTTCTTCATTTAAATAGGCTTTTTTCATCTGCTCTTTCCTGGTGTTTTTAATTTCAGTTCCTCCTCCGTCCATAGAGTGTTTCTCTCTAATTAGATCCCAGGACTTAGAACTCTAATACTATTTGATGGTGATGATGATGACAATGATAATCTCCCACCACTATGGTGACAACTACACAATCTATTCATAAAAGAATGGCTCAGTTCAGTGAATACTTAATGCCTCACCTGTCTTAGAAAGTATGATAAGTGTGTTCAGCATAATCCCCATAACTACCTAACAACTGAATCTTTAGAATGAGTAGGATAAGGAAGTTAACCAAGATAGTTTAAAAATTTACTATATTATACATATGCAAATATTTTGGTCTTGATTCAAATTCCTGAGTTAAGCAGATGCATAAATACCCTCCCTATATTTCCAAGAGGTTTAATGTAACGTGCAAAAATGGGGTTCAGTGTGAATGTTATTCTGTTCTTAGCCTTGCATCTCTTGCCTAGAGTGAAGAGCTCAATGGTGAGTTTTAGTAATAACGGCTATGATGGCATTGTCATTGCAATTAACCCCAGTGTACCAGAAGATGAAAAACTTATTCAAAACATAAAGGTAAGAGAAAGTTTTATTATCCATATGTTTTTATTTCACTAAGTATTTTCAGTTCATGTTGCCTAGGTACATATACTCACAGAGAGTTATAACTTTCCAAAATTGTTTGACAGTATTCATCATGTATATAGCATTTATCTAAACTATCAAGATTAATATCTGCTTAGTTGAAGAATATTTTGATTATTATTAATACTATTAGGCCTCCCACTAATGAATTATTAAAGGTCTAAACTACTAATATTTTTTCAATTAGATAAGCTAACAGAAATACTTTAGAATGAATGGAAAATTATTCTCAAATTTTATCTTTTAAAGTTACTTTTATAAAGTTCAAATTACTAATCTACTTTTAAGCCCTAGGGGTTCATTATCTGATACAATTTTTCAGTTGTTCATATTTATTCAACTCTGGAAAAATTTTAAAATTATATGTGTTTTATATTAAAGAATATATTACATATTTAAAGTTGATTTATCTTCCTAATTTTATTTATATTAGTCAGTATAATAAAATACACCTAATATATGGCACTTTAATATATACTATCTTCTTTAATCCTCCCAATATCCCTGTGAGGTGATCAAGAACAGGGTATTATGAGGGAAGTTAAATGATTTGTATGGTCTTACTATAAGTAGCAAAACTGGGATCTCAAGCCAATAAGACCTATATATTTTTATTTTAATTAATTCTAGGTAAAACTTTGCCTTTTATGAACACATTCCATATAAGAAGATAACTCAAAATAAATCTAACAAAATTTTTTTCAACTAATGTCAAATATAATAATCTACCAAACTTTAAACTCCCAATTTATCTAAACTCATAAGCACCTCTGACTAAATAAGCAACTTGCCCACAACAGGGTCTCAGTCTCAATCACCTTTATAACTCACCAGACATCCTCATTCCCATCTCCAACCCATAATGCTGATTGCAGGCCTGGACAGGTAAAAAATAGAAAGTTGATTTTTGAGCATATGAAACTGAGGAGTTCATAAACTGAAGAGATGTAGTAAAATTCAATCTGTTTTACAGTTAGTCTTTGCCGCAATGTTTGGGGAAAGGAAGCTTAGATTTACTTCTTCTAGGTCGTGTGTGTGTATGTGTGTGTGTATATATATAGTTTGTATATATGTGTAGTATGTATATAGTTTGTATATGTGTGTGTGTATGTATATATATATAGTTTGTGTGTGTGTATATATCTTTACGTTCATTTCACTATGAAATTGTTACCACAAGGTATTTTTAATTTTGTCAGGAAATGGTAACTGAAGCTTCTACTTACCTGTTTCATGCCACCCAACAAAGAGCTTATTTCAGGAATGTAAAGATTTTAATTCCAATGACCTGGAAGTCAAAATCTGAGTACTTAATGCCAAAACAAGAATCATATGACCAGGTAGGTTATTTAATCTAGCTCCTAAACTACTTCGTTCTTCCTGTGCCCTTAAAAATAAATACTTGTAATTTTTTTAGTAATTCCTAATCACTAATTGAGTAATTAAATCAATAGTATAACTTTTCATAATATATATAGAAAAAGTTCTTGTTTCTAAAATCCCTTGTTTCTATTGCTCTTGGAATTTGTTTTTGTTCATTTGTTCATTTGCTATTTTAGGCAGATGTCATAATTGCTAATCCTTATCTGAAATATGGAGATGATCCCTATACACTTCAATATGGACAATGTGGAGAAAAAGGACAATATATACATTTTACCCCAAACTTCTTGCTGACTAATAATTTGCCTATGTATGGGCCCCGAGGTAGGACTATCTATTTTATATTCTATTTTTTTTTTCCAGTGGAAATAAAAGCAACACTGTGATTAATGGTATTTTAAAGATTTAAGAGGAGAAAAATAGGTATTAAGTATTACCTTTATTTGGAAATATGCTAATTATGTTCAACTTAATTATATTTATTTTTGTGCATGAGTGTTTAATAATAAAACGTGCATGAGTGTTTAATAATAAAATAATAATAAAAAATAAAAAAATGTATTATTTATTATTTAAGTTGAAATTTAACACATTTCAACTTCTTTGGTCTAATGAAAGACATTGATATCTGGAGTTTCTTGACTCAGTTAGGTTGGGGAGATGGGGCAGGGAGACTTAAAATATAAGGAAACTGTCTTCAAATATTGTAAGTATAAATTTTTAAGCTGCAATATTCTCTTATAGGCAGAGTATTTGTCCATGAGTGGGCCCATCTCCGGTGGGGAGTATTTGATGAGTATAACATGGACCGGCCATTCTATATTTCTGAAAAGAACACTATTGAAGCAACAAGGTATCATTGTACTGAACCAATCTATTTTCAAAACTTTTCACTCATGCCTCTTTAATTTTCTGTACTAGGCTAACAAAGTCTATCTCAAGTGGTTGTACAGTTAATTGCAATATCCAACCTGCCCTATTGAGTCCAATTAATTCTGGGGATTCCACAAAATCGATCAGGAATTGGAAATCATTTCAATATTCACAGGGATGGTGCTAAAATATGTTAAGGGCAGAGGAGAAAGGAAAAAGCTGTAGCCTAAACTCCAAGATATCTGAGATACCTCTTTTGCTCTGCTTAATTCATAACTTTTTAATGTAAATCTGTTTCACTGAAATCAGTAAAGCTGCTAGACCTTCGTGGTAAATATATATTACACTTTTTATATAATCTTGATCTTAAAGAAAAAGTATTTCTGAAAAGGATAAGTGAGTAAATTGATTTTTTAAGAAATATAATTCTGGGTGGATACAGACAGGTCCTATTTATGAATAGATGAGATGTTTAAACCTCTAAGTTAAAAATACCAAGCACATGGAATATTTAGAGACTGTTAAAGCAACAATGTAGCAAGAAATAAGTCTTTGAGATTAAAAATCGTTTTAGAGCAAAGAGAGCTGATAGAAAAATGCATCTCCCCATCTCCTTTGTGTTGTTTGCTTGAGCCTTGGGTCTTTCACACAGACTGGGCTGTCAGCCTGGGATGCTTATTCCTCCCACCCTCATCCCACACAACTCCTCCCTAACCCAGTAACACCTGTTCATCTTCCAAGACTCAGTTTAAATATTTCTTCCCCAAATGTCTTTTCTCTCCCTCCATTTGGGGTTAGATAGCCCTGGGAGTGCTTCCACAGCAACATGTGTGGGCTTTTCTCACACTTAAAGCACTGGGCAGCAACTGTCTATGTAACTTTATTTTCTCCAATAGAATTTAAGATTCTTGAGGACAGTGATATTTTTTAACCCCTTGGCCTTGGGGCTGGAATAAATTAAAAGCTAAACAAAGAATGTATCAAACAAAAATTTTTGATAAATTAATAAAAAATGAATGAGTTTCCTTATAATTGGTCTTAAAAAGAAATATATTAGTGAAGACAAGTATGTAAGCATTTACTGAGCTCCTATTGTGTGCCAAGTACTTTGAGGCAGTGAAGTTTCATCATATGTAAGTTTAACTTTCAGGCTTACTCTGGAACTAAATCTCTTGGAAGATATAACTCACTGTCTCCCTTAATCCTTGCAATACAAAAAAAATTTATTAAAGTAGATTAATGTTGTAAAGTTTAATATTAACACAGAATGGAAGTAAATCCTGAATATAAACACAAACTCTTTTGAATCTTTTACTCATACTCTGTCCCCCATTCCCTGCCAGGGACTTGACAAATCATATTTATCCAAAGACCAAATGATTTTAATGCACAAGCATTTCCATGCAGGGTTTATTTTTATTTCTTCCTTTGGCCTAACTAAGTGGTTCTCAAAATGTAAATTGCAAAATGCCGTAAATATAAAACTGTGTATACCACATACGGAAATTTAAGAGGATTGTAAGCATAATGTTGACTCTTACTTCCCTGCCAAGAAGCAATTCCTCTGTATCTCTTAACTCATTTGATCTTCACAACATCCTTGTGAGTTAGATACTATCATTTTTAGCTCAAAGTCACAAGGATAATAGATTTATTGATCACACTAATGAGCAATGAATGTCTAAAAAATATAAACTTACAACTTTGTTCTTACTGAAATCGATGGTAAGTAGAAGTAGAACATTACGCCTACTTCTGTCAAAATGTAATGCTTGTTACATGATATATAGCAGTTGAGGGTGAGGGAAAGATTTTAGGATGATGGTCTTTATTCATGATTTGCCTAGTCTTCATATATATGTATATATGTGAAATCTAATTCTTTCATCATAGATGTTCCACTCATATTACTGGTACTAATGTGGTTTTCAAGGAATGCAGTGGGGGCAGCTGTATAACAAGGCCATGCCGACGTGACTCACAGACAGGGTTGTATGAAGCAAAATGTACATTTATCCCAAACAAGTCCCAGACTGCAAAGGAATCCATAATGTTTATGCAAAATCTAGAGTCTGTAAGTACCTTCTATTTTGAGATTCTGTAAGTACCAAAGGGAACCCTTAGGAAAAAATTAATTAGGGAAGCTAGATTTTCTATTATGAAAGTATGTGTACCAATAGAAAGGAAGGAAATTACTCAGGCAATTAATTTAAGGCCATTTTCTCCAGTCCATGTCAGGGTATGTCTGGATATTATCCCATCCTTTCTTGTTAACCTATCTTTTCTTTAGATGTGTAGCACTGTACCCTTCTCATTAGAGTCAAACAATAAACTCTTAGAACATCCCTTCCCCCATTGATTTCTGTGGACTTGTATATAGAGCTACAATCTTACTTTTAATTCCTTTCCTAAGTGTTAGCCATACTACTTTTCTAATGTAATTTATAATGTGGCTTTGGAAAGGACTGACATTCTAGATTTTCCATTATCTTAACACTACAGCACACCAAGCTACTGCAAAGTGATATTGTGAAAACACATATGACTGTCTCCGCAGAACAAACTTAAGGAAAAAATTCACAAGTACCAATGTGTCTAGCCAATTAAATAATAATAACATAGTAAATGCTCCAAAGCTAATGTTTGACCTGAAATATCTAGTTTAACTATATATTAATATAAACCTCAGTGAATAAGAACAAGTACCTTGAAGTCAGATAGACTTGCAATTGAAAATGTGCCTGTCATTTTCAAGCTTTATCACTGTGAGCAAACTGCTAAATCTGAAATTTAGTTTTCTTACCTTTTAAATGGAAATTATGATACCTACTTCACATTGTCATTGGTGTTAGGTTAACAAAAGCTAATATAAAGTATTACCACAGTATTTAGCACAAAGTGAGTACAAAATAAACTTTAAATTTTTAAAATTTGTAAAATATTTGGAAAATAGCCAGTGCTCTCTTTCCCTGGGTAAGCCCAACCTTAATTAATGCAAACATACTATAATTATTGTAATTACATAATAATAGTTTCTAAACATGTAAAAATATTTCAAAATATGAAACATATCAAAGTTATCAAAAACAACAAAATAAAATATACTACCTCTATATAGTAAGACTAACTTTATTAAAAGAAGCAAATTTTTCATATAACAAATCACTACTAACAAATACTTCCATAGGCCTATCATCTCTTACAAAATTTAAAATTCTTTTGGAGCCTAGGGCATTAATGATGAAAGACTTGATAAAAATATAGACTTGATATTTCCTTCTAAATCTCTTAAGCTAACTCAAGGTAGATATTTCTGTAGAAATTGTTTTCCAGACAAATAAAGCTCCCTCCTGGAAAAATTTAACACATGACTTAGGAACTTTAACCTGCTGCATCTGGAACAACAAAGGCTGGTCAAAGAGCTCAGTATCCAAATAGATATCAAATCATGTGACACAAGAGGATAATCACAATACTGTATGTACTGTCTGTCCCAAACTATAAATTCCAAAAGCATTTGACTATAAGGAGATAACTCATGCTCTTTATCTGGAACATAAATAATAATGAAGAAGATTATGTTGCTGAAATATCAAGGGCAACTAATTATGTAAGCCATGACTCAGGGATAAATACTGTACTTTAACCGTGAGTCTTGTCCAGAATAATGCTAACTTCTAATTATCATAACATAAATTAAATATATTGCATAGCATCTGTATCCAAGGCATCAGCTTAGATCCAGGAGAGATATGATCTGAAATGTTGAATATTTAAATCCATTATTTCCTTCCTTTAATCCTCATTATTCCTACTTCATGCTCATCACTATGTTGGGAACTGGAAACACAGAAATAATCAAAGATAAACTGTTCTTGAGAAACTCAGTTTAGCAAGAAAGGTACAGATACAAGAAAAAAATATATATGACATAATACAAATGAAGAACAGATATAGAGATATGGACCAAGTTCTATGAGGCCGGCAAAAACGTTTTCCAAAGAGACAGGTTTTGAGCTGGGATTTGAGAAAAAATGAATATGAATTTGCCAAAGCAGGAAGGGAAAGGGTATTTTATACAAAGAAACAGATTTACAAAAGCAAAGTCTGGAGTAAGGCAGGGATACCATGCATGATTGTGCAAGTTTAACATTGCCTAAATTATTTGCATCATGGTCATTAAAGATTTCAGCATTTATTAGAACAATTTGCAGGCATACAGCAGTAAAGGAACTTGAGAAAGTGGTGCCTTTTTCTAATTTGCACAAAATTACCATCTGGGTTAGCAAAGTCCGTAATAAAAGTTTCTGGCATATTCTAAGGATAGAAAGAAACTCAATGTGCTAGAAGCAAAGGACCCATGGTGAGCAAGAGGCAGGAAATGAGGTTGAAACAAGAATTGGGGCCGACATGTTGACTCACGCCTATAATCATAGCACTCTGGGAGGCCAAGGCAGGAGGATCTCTTGAGGTCAGGAGTTCAAGACCAGCCTGAGCAAAAGTGAGATCCCATCTCTACTAAAGACAGAAAAATTAGCTGGGCATGGTGGCACATGCCTCTAGTACCAGCTACTGGGAAGCTGAGGCAACAGGATTGCTTGAGCCCAGGAGTTTGAGGTTGCTGGGAGCTAGGCTGATGCCATGGCACTCTAGCCCAGGCAACAGAGTGAGACTCTGTCTCAAAAACAAAAACGAAAAACAGAAATGGGACCTACAAAGCTAAAGTGTGGTTTTATATCCTCTCAGCTTTAGACTGGTGATGTGATTAGCTTAATTCTTTCAGGAAGGTTATCCTAATTGTGAAGGATAGGATGGAGTTGGATAATAGTGGAATCAGGGAGACCAGTTGGAAGGCCATGGCAGCAGGTAGGTTAAGAAACCTGAATAGAGGCAGTGGCAGTAGTAGGGGAAAGAGGGATCAGGTTCCGTAAGCATTTCATATCAGCAAAGAGTCACCAATCAATTACTGCTTTGTTTAAAACTATATTTTTCTCCCATCCATATAACCCATTTGGAAGATGTAAACCAGAGCCACATAAAAAACTGTTAACACTTAGATCAAAAATATACAAATTTAATAATTTAAGTTCTTCTACATCTGAGCTTATATCTAAAGACTGGCATTGGGAGAGCATTAAACTAATTACATGAAAAAATAATGAAATGAGACTACTAAAGATATTTCTATAGCTGAGGCTTATAGCAAGATGAATTCTTTTTGAATTCTTCCTAGTTATGACATTTTTCAAGTTACTACATTGTCAAAACTTGGAGAATATTCATAGATTTGTTAGTAATGAAATATTCATTGGAAGAATTATTGGATACCATTTACTACTTGCCACTAAAAGAGAAATAATTACATGTCCTCATTTTCTCCCTACCTTCCATAATAGTATTATTTTATTTACATCAAATTTACCACAGCCAATATAATCCACATTGTAGAATATCTATCTTCAAGTTTTTGATCTACTATGAAGATGTGGAACAAACCAGACAATTAAAGAAAGCCACTTTCTCTACTACACTTTTAGGGGGCAGCTAAAAATTACCACAAACCTGTCGTTTTTCCTTAAACTTAATTCAAGGGGCCTGAGCTCTCCAAGAGTCTAGAAAAGAAAGAAATTATTTTAAGCTGTCATGACAGCTGCTATCAACCCCCACTAACATGATCTATCTGTTAAAACACGGTACCAATTGATAGTTTTACTGCTTCTGCTCCATTCAAGCATGCAAAACAAACGTCAGAATGTTAGGCTATGGTATTTTAAGTTCAGGTGATACACTCTGTGAAGGACAATATGGCAGTTAACTGCTCACCAAGTTATTGTAATCTTGTCTTCTAATTGATTTTTTTCAGTAATTAAATTTTGTACAGCAGAAACACACATAAAGACGCTCCAAACCTACAAAACAAAATGTGCGATCACAAAGCACTGGGATGTAATCATGGTTTCATGATTTTCGGAATGTATCTCCATGAGAGGAACGAATCTACCACCTCATCCTACAATTTCATTGCTCAAGTCCAACAGCGATAGTCTGTGTTAGTACTGATAAATCTGGAAGCATGCACACAGTAAGACAGTTTTTTGCTCTCTTAAATTAAGTCTTTAAGCTAATAGAAATTGAACTTAATCTTAGGTTTAGTTCTAGTAAGCTACTAACATACATATGTATTATGTCTAATAAATTTTGGTATAATGATTTCTATATAAATAAGCACTAGCAGATAATATGCTAAAATAAAAATGTTGTTATATTAAGATTATTGGATTATGAACAATTTTACTCCTTAACTTTAGTTGTAACTAACTAGAAAATATAACTGAACAAAAAGAAAAATGAAAATCATCTATAACTCTGCCATTGGACATGTATCATTTCAGTCTTTTTTAACTATGTAGTTCTTTCTTCCTCAAAATGTGATTAAATTATATAATGCTTATAATCTGATTTTTTTTACTTCATATACCTTAAATATCTCCATGTAAAATGATTACATGATGTAATTTAATGGCTTATCACATTCACATATCATAATTTAGTCAAATAATCCCTTATTGTTGAACATTTGGAAATTTTCAACTTAATAATAAAAGAGTGTTGCAATGAACATCTTTGTATGCATTTTTTAAATTATTTCTTTAGGAAAAATTCATGAATAAAAACTGTTAAATAAAAAGGTATAGATTTTTAAAGCTTTTCCAAGTGTAACATAACTGGTTCTTTAAGATTTTCTTCAACTTTTTAAATAAAATGAAGTTAAATTTCAAAATATATCAATTAATTATTATTATGATCTATGGCCCATGAATCTGTTATTAATCTGTCAAGACTTGGAGAGTCTCAGGAGTTGTTCATACATCCTTTTCTTACAGGAAGACCGTCTCTTTCGAATGAATCAAGCGGCAGAACTGTACTTGATTCAAATTATTGAAAAGGAATCCTTGGTCGGGATGGTCACATTTGACAGTTCTGCTAAAATCCAAAATAATCTTACAAAAATAACTGATGATAACACTTACCAAAGTATCACTGCAAACCTGCCTCAAGTAGCTAGTGGTGGAACTTCGATTTGCGATGGACTCAAAGCAGGATTCCAGGTAAAATAAAAACTTTTTAAAGTATCATTTGCTATTTACTATTGCTTTTAATTTCATCCAATTACCTTTGAACAAGGGCCATGAGTTCATGGGTCCCTCATTTAATAATGCTGTGACCTGATCAAGGTAAATCATTTATGGGAAGAAAAATATAGCCTCTCCCACTTATCTATTGTTTAAGCTAGACCCTCTCTGAGTGTGGTTGTTCAACTGACTTATTCCAGAGGTACTAAGTTGCACTGTGGAGTGGTTAAGTAGCAAAGAAAATCCAGTGTGCACACAATCATCATGATTTTATTGAGGAGCTCCTCATTTCTCTAATACTCCCACAGTCTGAGCTTCCGTGAGAGAAAATAATACCACTGAGGGGACTGTGGAAGAGAAAATTAATAACACTGTCTATATTATGAATAAGAAAGGCCCCATTCATCAAGTTAAATGACATTTAAAAATCACAAGGACAGAGGCAGCCCTCAAGCAGTATAGTACCACCCAACAAACATAGGCAGAAGTTTAATTAAATCAAAATTATGAACTCAAAAATTGGGTTCATTGGGGTTTGGCACTATTCCCACCTGCCTCCTGTACTCATTGAATCCTTCCAACCTAAATTAGCCTTCATTTAAGCTATTTATTGTCATGCTTTAAGTCACAAAACGAAAACTACTTTCTTCACTGATCCTCTCTTTGCCTTAAAATGGAGATTGCTACTTATCCTGGCATTGATTAAAACCATCTGTTAACTTTCCTCTGGTGTCTATTTGTGCTAAAAACTCATTTGCCCGTTTAAAGAAAGAAGCAGGCTTCCTGGCGGATGATGACAAACCTGGGGATCCTGGGCTCTAATTTTGATTATGCTAAATGTCTTGGGGTAAGTAACTCATCTCACAAAGGTTCCCATTTCCCCAGACAAGGTGAATGTATTATTAATAATATAGTACCCTCTCTCATTTATTGTTGGAAGTTATGTAAGATCAGTAAATGCGTTAAGAAAGTTGATAAGTAATCATATTTCTTACGTATACATTCTTGTCACTTCTAACAGTATGCACGAGTACTGTATACATTGGGGAATCACATCAGAATGCTTAGCAAACATTATTAGTTCGATAAATTTTTAAGTTTTAAAATGGTATCATTTTTGATATATATCTTATATTTTGACCACCAAGACTCTATTGGCGAAGTAGGATGTATGTCACAATCCTATTCAAGGGAGGTATGCAGACAGGCTTTTTAATTATTTGAATAATAAAGCCATATCCAGTATATACAGCATTTTATTAAAAAATTATTAAAATGAATTAGCTGCACTTATTGGTATATACACACGATTAGTGCCCCAATGCTAATGCTGTCGCATGCCATGCAATGATCTTATATTTTTCCTGTTGGACTTTACTTTTGGAATTGGTCGTAAGTTTCATTAATGCCCCGATTTTGCACATAAAGGAAATGCGATGGTTTCAGGCATGTTAATTGACTTTGCTCGAAGATCGTGTAGTCAACAATTGGCGAGGTACGATTCAACATTTGTCATTCTGATTCCAAAGACCATATATTTTTTTTTAATCATTAAGTATCTATAAACTCTATATTAAGTATATAATTATGTGTATACTACTTTCATTATATAATCTGAAAAACTATACTCACTAGCATTTAGTTAGCAATGAAAGAGTTGGAATTTCTGTTCAAGGTCTAATGCCAAAGTCGTTAGATATGTGGTAGAAGTCAGGAAAAGATGAAAAGAAAGGATTTGTGGAATTGGAAAACTTTTAAAACTTTTCTTCTTCGTGGCAAGTCAAAGTTTTTTCAGGAAGTCCTGAGATTCTCAGCAGTCAATCACAATAAATGCATTAAAAACATATAACGCATCCTTTAACCTTGCACACCCACTTTTGGTCATGATTGTCCAAAGCTATCTAGTCTACAGTCTTCCAGAACTGTCTGGGTCACTTGCCTCCACCCCAAGTATGCCCTGGGATAATAATAACAATGACAATAGCTAATATTCACTGAGCACTTACTAAGTTCCAGGCATTGATCTAAGCGCTTTATTTGTTCTCTCTTGGGTAGCAAGAGTATACCTGAAAGGATTAGAAGTTATAATATTCAAGCTTTGAAAACCTACAAGACCACTATAAATTACACTCATTTCCATATGCCAACTCAGCCTAAAAGGACAATGCAAGAACTCTCCTTTTGCTTACTCTGATGCAAAGAACTAAAGATTTTTCCAAAACTAAAGAACAGGGTCATTCTTGTTTTAAATATATTAATATATGGCATTTTGTAATTAATAACCTGCCTTCTCACTATCAGGTAATTACCCAAAGTAACCAGAGTACTTCTGGTTCTGAAATCATATTACTAACAGATGGGGAAGACAATCAAATAAGCTCATGCTTTGAAGAGGTAAAACAAAGTGGTGCAATCATTCACACCATTGCTCTGGGACCGTCTGCTGCCAAAGAACTAGAGACTCTGTCAAATATGACAGGTAACCCTTTGGAATATAGTTTGGATAGAAAATAAATTTCTAGTCTCTCCCATTCCAGGGGCTTTTTCTCCTTAAACTATAAAACTGCTAAAAAGAATTTATCCTAAAAACTAATTTTCCCCCCTCCTCCACTTCTTCATATACTAGCTTCTTCTAATGTATTCAACATTTGCTGTCCTCATTCATGCCTCCCCCACTTTCTGCCAAGATCATTAAAAAGAAACTTCTTTCTCTATGATTACTCAACTGTAAGTCCAAAATTATTGCTCAATTCCAAACTACCACTCAATCCCACAGTAGATATTTAGACATCAATCCCACAGTAGAGATTTAGACATCCCTCTTTTATAGATGAAGAAATGGAAACCTAGACAGTACAAATGATTTGCCCAAGGCCATAGAGTCCTAATTACCAATTCAGAGATCTTTCCATCATCCCACCCTGCTTCCTGCCTCACCAAATCTTGTTAAATCTTAGTTTGGAATATTTCTGTATTTCCCCTTTCTATCCAGTCCTACTACCACTACTATTATAATCCACAACTCTTGCCTAGGTTGCTTCAATAACCTTCCAGCTGATCTCTCTGCCACTTATTAATTCAATAAATATGTATCGATGGTTGCATTTGTAGCAGCAGTCACTTGTGTTAATACTTGCTTTCTGCAATCTATTTTTTCCTAACTCCTTACACTCAACTAATCTTTCTCTTCATTAATTTCTATATTATTTATTTTCTGTACTTAATCTATTTTTACCTTATGCTAAGTCCTGGCTCAGAAGAACTATCTTAAATCTCATTTTTATAACATTATTTAGTTCTTAGACCAGTTTTAGTAATGTCGAAGGACTTACATTTGATGATTGACTGACATAAAAAAGATAACATTTGGGCTGTTTTTTGATTCCTTTATCTCTTCTCTGATTATTTTTCGGAACAAGATTTAGTCTAATAGTATTACTCTGGGGATGCTGATATACGAAAGTCACCGTAAGATTTTGGGAAATTCATCCTTTGAAAGTTTAAAAAGAAATTTTAAAATAGATTTTAAAGCATACTGATGACAGCCCTATAGCAAATGTAATTTTCCCATTTAAACTTCCATTTTAGGAGGACATCAGTTTTTTGCCAATGAAGACATAAATGGACTTACTGATGCTTTCAGCAGAATTTCATCTAGAAGCGGCGTGACATCTCTCAGCAAGCTCTTCAGGTCAGTATATCAAAAAAATTCTTTGTTTTCTCACAGTTATCATAAATTTCTATTATCCTACTTGTTAACTCTTCTTTCTCTAATAAATAACTCTTTTGCCTAAAAATATTTCAGGTATGCAGAAGAAAAAACATCCTTACTGAATTTGTTTTTCCATGACACAGCTACCTTTTCTTCTGAATTCTTCTATTCTTTATAATTATGTATGCTTTTTATTTGGAAAGTTCTTTAAAATAATTCAATTATTTTAATTGAAAATTTAAAAACCAATTTAAAATTACTCTAAACTCTAAACTAACTAAACTTAGAAATTCTATTACCCTATAAAAGCAAATGGATTCCTGCAATCGAATGTTTATAGAGCACAACTTCATAACTAAACGACAAGGCTGTGAGGAACAGCCCAACGTGGCCAAGCATCCATCCAAGAATCGGATTAAGAAAATGTTGCGGTCATTATGTATACCAGGAGTACTCATTTTCAGCTCTAAGAAACAATGCGTCGATATAGCACTCTATAATTTTCCTGGTTAGCAGCCTGGAACCCAATACTTACTAAAGTGAAGGTATCCCAAGAATGGACAAAAACAAGCACCACAATACTCACCAGCCAAACTCGGTATTAAACTGGCAGCCCTAAGTGGACACATAGGTACTACAGTGAAATAGGGTATTGAGCAAGTAGGAAGGGGAGGAGGCGGGTATATACATACATAATGAGTGATGTGCACCATTCTGGGGGATGGTCATGCTGGAGACTCAGACTGTGTGGGGGAGGAGGGGAAGGGCATTTATTGAAACCTTAAAATTTGTACCCCCATAATATGCCGAAATAAAAAAATAAAATAAAAAGCAAATGGATTTTATGTGTTTGGTATTTTTATTTATACAACAGTTGGAAAGTAGAGCCTTGAATATTACAGGGAAGAAATGGATAAATGGTACAGTGCCTGTGGATAATACAGTTGGAAATGATACTTTCTTTGTTGTCACATGGACAATACAAAAGCCAGAAATTCTTCTTCAAGATCCAAAAGGAAAAAAATATAATACCTCAGATTTCAAAGAAGATCAACTAAATTTTCGATCTGCCCGTCTTCAGATACCAGGTATTGCAGAGGTAGGTCTATTCTTTTTCTCTATGCTTTGTTAATCAATTTCTATTTTTAAAAGATGAAAATAACACTGCCAATATTAAAACAATGACAGATCATCTGGCATAAAATAGAAGTCAAATAAAATAATTAGGGATTCATATCCATACTATTTACTAGTTTGTAAAATCAGACATTAAAAATCATTATTATTACTGTGCTGAAATTTCTAAATAATTTTATATTCCAAACAAGGAGTAGGAAAATATTACCAAAGCCCTCAAATAGATATTTTTGATTTTCAGACAGGCACTTGGATTTACAGTCTTCTAAATAAGCATGCCAAATCTCAATTGCTAACGGTGACAATGACCACTCGAGCAAGAAGCCCCACCACAGTCCCAATAATTACAACTGCTCACATGAGTCAAAATACAGCTCATTACCCTAGCCCAATGATTGTTTATGCACGAGTCAGTCAAGGATTTTTGCCTGTTCTGGGAATCAATGTAACAGCTATTATAGAAACTGAAGATGGACATCAAGTAACATTGGAGCTCTGGGACAATGGTGCAGGTAATAAGAATCTGCATTGACTTCCACTAAACTTAAAATCCTCCTATAGTTCCATGACCTAGAAGTCAATATTTCCTGGGTTTGCTAATGAATCATACTTTAAAGTAAATTAAATTTAATTTTAATGTTTTTAAAATTTTTTACTTACTTATCTTGACAAGTCATAGCCACAAGCACATTTATCTTTTTTAAATTTTATGAAGAACTTTACTTTTCCTGTGAAAAAATGGACAGTTTTTCACAATTTTCATTAATGTCAGTGTTCCACATGTGCTTTCTCCAGTTCAGTTATATTTTCCTTATTTTGATAAGCTTTTTTTATGAAATAATAATAATAGTAACAACTAATATTTATTGAATGCCTACCACGAATCAGACTTTTCCAAAATCACACACAGAGTTAGCAAGTGGCCAAGCCAAAACTGTTTGATTCCACGGTTCACGTAATTAAAACTCTGTGCTATACTATCTCCCAAATTGTTGACATCACCAGTGCCCATAAATAGTTACGATTGTCATTTTTATTTTACTGGATAACTAATTATTACATTTCAATATCAAGGTGCTGATACTGTCAAGAATGATGGCATCTACTCAAGGTATTTTACAGAGTACCATGGAAATGGTAGATACAGTTTAAAAGTACACGCCCAGGCAAGAAAAAATGCAGCTAGGCTAAGTTTAAGACAACGACAAAACAAAGCTCTGTATATACCAGGCTATGTTGAAAATGGTAAGTAGCATTAAAATAGAAATGTGTCTGTTGTTTAGGTAAATTGCATACGGCAAACATTGAAAATATAATGTCCTAAGAAAAACACAAGTATATAATGATATAATTATCTGTATGTTTCAAAATCATATTCGTATTAGTGGATCTAGAATAGACCTTTGTTTCTACATGTTTTGATCACATCCTCCTCAGTTCATTTGATTTACACTGAAAAAAAAAGTTACTGAGCACCTGCCATATTGCAAGCACCGTGCTAGATGCTAGAGCTACAAAGGTAAATAAAACACAATCCTGGTCCTCAAAGAATTTGCATCAAATAGTATCTATGGAAAGGTTAAAAGATAGTTTGAACATAGCATAATGCCTCCTCATGAATTTTAAAATGACATAAATAAAACAAGATTTTTTTTCACTAAAAGCTGTTACTTTTTCAATGTTTGCATCAATATTAACCCTATACAGCTTCAAGATCAGCTTACAAGCTAAAGAATAGACATGATAATATGAAAAGTGATAACAGGTTTTTTTGGTAGGTAAAATTATACTGAACCCACCCAGACCTGAAGTCAAAGATGAGATGGCAGAAGCTGAAGTAGAAAACTTCAGTAGAGTAAGCTCCGGAGGGTCATTTACTGTATCAGGAGCGCCTCCTAATGGTGATCATACTGCTGTGTTCCCACCTGGCAAAATTACAGACCTTGAGGCTAAGTTTAGAAGCGATCATATTCAACTTTCATGGACCGCCCCTGGCAAGGTCCTCGATAAAGGAAAAGGTAAGTTTGAGATTATGTTTTAAAATATACTAAAACATTGGTCCCTAACCTTTTTGACACCAGGGACCAGTGTCATGGAAGACAATTTTTCTGGGCGGGTGGGGCTCACTCAGGCGGTGATGTGTGTGATGGGGAGGGGAGCGGCTGTAAATACAAAAGAAGTTTCACTCACTCCCCCGATGCTTTCTGTGCGTTCTTTTCTCCCTCCCAAGGAAAAAGTTTTGAAGCATTTCTATACTTGCACAATTTCATTCATTTATTAACCTGTTGAGTGTTCACACTATTATGTTCCTAAGAAATAATTCTTACTCTCAACAGTCAATTGAGTACAGAAGATACACAGGTAAACATAAATTCAAACAGTGTAATAAAATATGTTGTTGTAAACAGAATCATATAGCAGCCCATGGGTAGGCCACAAACCTCTTTACTTGAGTATTGAGGGCACAGGGTATATCTTAAAAGGCTTCCCCGGGGAGACTATCCCTGACCTGAGTGGTGAAGAATGATAGTAATTAGCCAAGTTAGGTGAAGGTGACCCACAGGAAAATGTGCAGAGAAACTAATTTGTTTGAGAGGTTTGTTCATGGTGTTTGAATAAGGTTCAAGCCCCAAATATCTCCTTTATTCAAAGTTCCTAATAATAAATAATAAACTGCCCTAATTCCAGAAATCTTAAATTACTTCTATCTTTGTTTTAAATTTCACTAGATTCAATCAATATTTATTGAATGCCTATCATATTCCAATATTGTGTAGACTAGTAGATTACTATAGGATAAAGCCAGTCTTGCTATTTTCCCTATAAAGTGGAAAAATAAAAGCAATATGGAATATAGATATACATAATATCACAGAAATTGTCAGTGCTAAAACAGCAAGTATTCAGTACTCATTCTCCTGGGTTATAATAAACCCCTCATTGTATGCTCTCAAAATAAAATGCCTATTAATCTTTCACTCACTTTATACCATTTTCAAAGCTGTATTTCTTTTTATCATTATTATACAAGCAGAAAATCATTCAAAAGGCAGAGGAAACACAAAATAACCATAAACATATCTTTTTTATTTCACTGTTGAAAAGTATTTTTGCATACTATGACCCCTAAACATATGATAGAATTTTTAAAAAGTGAAAAATGCCAATACTGCCACTGAAAAGCCACAGATGAAATTACTTAATGAAATATTTGGTTCTAAAATCAGTTCAGTAGAGACCAAGCTTTCAGTTCAAGACTGGGTTCATAATAAAAGTCTCTCATGCTGATTAAAGGAACTAAAAAGGAACTAAAAGTAGGAATAATGTATGATATATGGGCACTGAGAGAAAAAAAAATCACTATGTATAACCAAAAATGCCTAAAATAGATGGGATCTAATCTTCCTCTTTCCTGTGACAAATAGGAAGGGGTAATAGTAACCATCAAATGTTATCTACAGGCATTACAAAAGTAATGCAGCAGCAATTATCTTAAAGAATGAATGAACTTCTATATATCTCAAATGGAGCACTTAAATTCTCTGGGATACAATTTCTATACTTGTCAAATATGCAAATTAGACTAGGTGACCTAGAATTATTAAAATAAGTAGATATAATTCTAATATTTTATGATTCTCTAATTCCATCATTTTTGGTATCAACTTAACTATATTGTTGACCAATAAGTAATTAAGGAGATCAAATTAAGGAGATCAAATACATGCCCAACACAGTACCAGGTACCCTGGGTGATACAAAAGGAGTATAACACATAGTCTTCACCCTTAAGAATAATAGGATATAATCAGAATGAAAAATTGAACTTCTACAAAACAATCTGGAAAACTCCATTCCATGCGATTGGAGTTCATGGAAGAGAGTCATCAGGGTGAATGAAATACTTGAATAAGACTTCATGAAATTGGGCCTTGGTGGGCCTTGAAGAATGAGTGAAATTTGCATATACAGGGAAAGGGAGGTGCATTGCAGGGAGAGAAGAAACCAAATAATATGATCAAGGTCAAGATAGCAAAATTTCACAATGGAATATTTGTATTAAAATCAGGGACTGATAGAAAGACAGATAGATAGATAGACCCAACTAAATGGAACATAGAGTTCTGTGAAGAGTAATAGAATGGATTGATAAGACCTATTTACGGAGAAACTAAATATTAAGCAAAGGGCCTGAATTTTTTTGAAAAAAAGCCTACACACTCAAAATATCTTCAACATTTCATGAAAAAATTAAAGTTTTCACTTCAAGAAAGGACATTTGATGTTTTCTCAGTTTATCACATTTCAGAATGTGAGAATATATTTTTATATTGATGACTCTGGTAGAGTTCTAAAAGCAGTGTAGAATGAAACATTTATGTCATCATCATCCTTTCCTTTCTAGTAATAAAGTAATAGCAGTTATAATAGTTAATATTTCAAACATTTAGTAAACACCCATTAAATTATGTTAAACATGTTTCATGCATTATTATATATAATTCTCACCACTAGAATAGTAGGTGAGCAAAAATATTTGCTAAATGAATTGAATAACTGAATCTCTATTTTACAGATTAAAACTAGAGATAAGAAAGGTTAAATAAATTTTGTTTTGTTACATAGCTAGAAAGTAGTAGAATTAGAGTGCTAATCTAGGTCTGCTTAGCTTCTGAGCACGTGTTTTACTAGTACACATCCCAGTCTCTCTGCTTCCTTTTACTCTTTATTCTCATCCCTTTCTCACACTCTATTTATCTTCCATTATTCCTTCTTTCGGCTTAATGAGAAATAATACAGATGTGGGGTACTGAATGTCTTCACTATACTGAAACATTATTGTGTTCCTTGTTCTAAATGAAAAAGTGGATTCAGCTCCTTATATTACTCTTTCTAAAAACAAATCTAGATTCTTGGTTTTTAGCACTACATAATTTTGAATTAAATTTTTCTGGGATTTTATATACTAACTGTACATTAAAAACAATAACTATTTACATATTTGTCCTTAAAACAAAGAAGATGGAATAATGAGATTTCTATATCTAAAACCCAGTGTGCATTTCTGATAGGCTCCCAAATGTAAGGCAGTGTGGTGGCAGCAAGGCATCCTAGTGATTTTAATATTCATGAAGTATCTATTTGCTTTCCAGCTGACAGATACATTATAAGAACAAGTAAGCATTTTCTGAACCACCAAGAAGATTTTGACAATGCTACTTTAATAAATACTTCTGGTCTGATACCTAAGGCAGCTGGCTCAAGAGAAAATTTTGAATTTAAACCAGAACATTCTAAAATAGAAAATGGCACCAAATTCTATATTGCAATTCAAGCCATCGGTGAAGCCAATCTCACCTCAGAGATTTCTAACATTGCACTAGCAACTAAGCTTATTCCTCCACAGGAACCCAGTGTCCCTGCTCTAGGTGCCAATATTTCTGCAATCAGTTTGGCAGTTTTTGGATTAGTTGTTATTTTATCTATATTTTAAACTAGAAATTGTATTAGAACTAAAATTCAATGTTATACATATTTGGTAAACATTTATTGTCTATTATAAAACTCTGTAAAATAAAAGTGAATGTATGAAAGTTATAACTTTCCTAATTACTAGAGTTAATTAATACTAATTGAATTTCTAAATGTAAATCAAAATGAGTATACTATTTCCTCTCTTTGAACAATCCATTAATTTTTAATATAAAAAGAAGATGTATATTTGTACTTGTGAACTTTTTAAGAAACATTTTCAGAGTGTACTACAAACTCATTCTGTATATTAACAAATTGAAATGTATCCAAGCTATTTAAAAAATATTCATATACAGATAGCAGCAAATGTCTTTATAGTACAATTACTTGCATTCTATTCATGATTATGAATTAATACTTTATCTTTGCATAAGTTGTATTCAAAAAGGACCATAATTTTTCAATGAAAAATAGTCTAAAGTAGTAAGGAGTTCAAATTTGTTTTTATCATTGATTAAAAGTGGTATATCATAGTTTTAGCCCTAGACATGAAATGACTAGCAAGAATGCTTTTTTTGGTATGAATTATGGAACATCACAATAAAGTTCTGTTTCTATTCTGAGACCATCATTAGGCCCGAACGGTATTACCAATATGCTTCATTAGGTCAGGGATATCTTTTTCTCTGCTATATCCTCAGCAACTAGAATAGTACTTAAAACATGGTACATATTCAATAAATATTTGTCAGATAAGTTAATGAATACTTTCCTCCCCTCAAAAGAAATCCAAATTTTACCCCATTACATCAAAAAAATCCACAAAATATCATGTGTACATGGTATTTTCAGGACTTGATATAATGAAAAGTAACCCACTTAATAACATTGATATGAACCAACACATAAAATTTCAGAAAATTAACTGTATTATCTCAACAGAGTTTATAAAATATCTAATAAAATGTAAATCAGGCTATTTATATAACAATGTGATGTGATTTTTCTGAGAGAGAGAAAAAGAAATGGAAAGAAAGATAGACTTATATTTAAGGAAAAAACTTTGTTAACAGGCAAGAAGAGTTTTGAAATTCTTTGAATGTCTGAAAGGAGAAAACTGTATGATGTATCTGAAAGAATCAAGAAAAAAAATCATAAAACATTACCTAACCAAATCCAGAAAAATACACAAAAATAATAATATATCATGACCAAGTTGAGTCTATACCAAGAATCCAAATAAGATTTAATACTAGAAAAATAAAAAAAGAAAAAGAAAATTAATGTAATTCACATTAACCAATTAAAACGAAAAATTATATGATTGCCTCAGTACACGCAGAAAACATATTATAATTCAACCACTATTCTTCATTCAAAATGAAACCTTGAAACCATTAACCTGATATTTTAACCTGAAAGTCCAAACCCTGATCATTTAAAAATAAAGAAAAAGGGGCTGGGTGCAGTGGCTCATGCCTGTAATGCTAGCACTTTGGGAGGCTAAGGCAGGAGGATTGCTTGAAGCCTGGAGTTCAAGACCAGCCTGAGCAAGAGCCCATCTCTACCAAATATAGAAACATTAGCCAGGCATGGTGGCACGCACCTATGGTCCCAGCAATTCAGTTAGCTAAGGCAGGACAATCACTTGAGCCCAGGAGTTTGAGGTTGCAGTGAGCTATGATGATGCCACTGCACTTTAGCCGGTACCACAGAGCAAGAGCCTGACGAAAGAAGGAAGGAAGGAAAAAAAGAAGGAAGGAAGGAAGGAAGGGGATTAAATCGTCAAGTAGAAATGAGAAATTAGACATTAGAGGATGAGAATTCCAAATTCCTAGGAAAAAAATCACTTAAGAATCTATAAACCATAAAAAATATTGATTGTGAAAGCCTCAAAGAGTCAAGAGATAGTTAATTTAGTTTCATATACACAGTCACTATGCAAATTATTTATATAGCTTTAGCAGTCAATGAGGAAAATACCTATGCAATAGGTACAAAATAAAAAAGAAATAGAAGATATAATGATTGGAAAGAAAGGTGCAAAACTGTAATTATTTGCAGGTGACACAGAAAATCAAATAGAGCTTGTTTGGAGGTTCTAGCAGCTACTCATGTACTCTTGACTGCAGAACAGTCCTCTTCTGTTTAGGAGGGTCGTCCTCTTTGACCCAGCAGGCAGCTTTGAGAGAGATGCACATGGAGCAGTGAGGGAGGAAGGGGACACCTACCTAGCCAGCCAGATAAGCCAAATCAATACTGGCGAGCAGTGTGGTGACAGATTTCACAGCCAGATCACCCTCACATCCAGAAAATCCAATAGAATTAACAAACAATTAAAATAACAAGAAAGTTCTGAAAAGTTACCAAACACAAGATCAATTTATAAAAATTAATAGCACCAGTCTGGCACGTTATGAGCTTAGAAGTTGTTACTCCCATCCTCACAACAAGAAAAAAAGCTTAACTGAAAATCAACAATTCTTAAATTCATTGGAGAATTGAAGTCACACTGCAATCAGCTACTAAAAATTTGGAGAGCCCTGTAAATACAGAGAATCACAGTTTACCAGCAGTGGAAACCTGCCAGTGACTCCAACACCAGTAAGAACACTAAGCTGTCAATGAGGACTTGCCAGAGTCTCAGAATGGATGAGTTTGAGAATTAAAAACTCTGGGAAGCCTGTCCTCAGGAGAAACTATTTGACCAGTGCATGACTGACTCAGGTTTTACATGAGGCTAACCAACTTGGGGGTAGGGAAATACCCAACTCCAGTTTCCCCTAGCCTTTCACGTGGTAGAGGAAAATACCCAACTCCAGAGTCTTCTAACATACCTATGGCATCAAAGGGGAAAGAAGCTGGAAAGCACTTGTAAAGGCCACAGCATAGGAAGACAAGCACATTAAAAGACTGAGACCTAATCCATAGGATTATGCAAAGCCTCTCCTCCCCCTACACTTTACCAGCACATTAATAGACTACTGTGTATGAACAGGAGATTATGGAAGAAAGAACTGGAAGCTTCAAACCCAATTTGAGACAGAGTCTCTAGAGAAACCCAAAGACAGCCAGGAAATGAAAACCAAAAACATTAGAGGAAATTTCTGCCTCTGACACTTAAAGCTACAGCAAACAGTAAACACAATCTAACTCCTAGCCAAGTAACATAAAACCTCACACTAGCAGCCTATTTACCACAATTTCTTTTACCCAATACATCATGTCTGGCTTTCAACAAAAAATTACAAGACATGCTAAAGACAGGGAAAAAAAAACAGTCTAAGGAGACAAAAAAGGCATCAGGATGAGACTCAGATATGGCAGAAATTTTGGAATTATCAGACCAAGTGTTTAAATCATAAGTATGATTAATATGGTAAGAACTTTAAGAAAAGGGAACAACATACAAGAACAGAGATATGGGTAATATAAGCAGAAACATGGAAATCCACAGAAAGAATCAAAATGAAATGCTAGAAATAGAATACTATAACAGAAATGAAGAATACTTTTGAGGGACTCATCAGTAGACTGGTCACAGCCAAGAAAAGAATCACTAAGCTTGGTCAGGAGCAGTGTCTCACGCCTGTAATCCTAGCACTCTGAGAGGCTGAGGCAGGAGGAATGTTTCAGGTTAGCAGTTTGAGACCAGGCTGGGCAAGAGCCAGATCTGGTCTCTACTAAAAATAGAAAAAATTAGCCAGGCATGGTGTTGCTTACCTGTAGTCCTAGCTACTTGGGAGGCTAACGCAGAAAGATCATTTAAGTCCAGGAGTTTGAGATTGCTGTGAGGTAGGCTGACACTGCAGCACTCTAACTCGGGTGACAGCGAGACTGTCTCAAAAAAAAATAAATAAGTAAAAAAGTAAGCTTGAAGATAGGTCAACAGGGACTTCTAGAACTGCAGGGAAATGGGGAGGGAGGGGAGACAGAGAAAAAAATAAAAAGATAAAATAGAATGTTCAAAAACTGAGGGATGATTACAAAAGGTGTAACATGAATGCAATAGGAATAATAAAAGAAGAAAGAGAAAAAGAACAAAATAAATGTTTGAAGTAGTAATAACTCAGAATTTTCCTAAATTAATGAGAAATATCAAACCATAGGTCCAACAAACTCAAAGAACACCAAGCACAAATAATACCCAAGGCATATCATATTCAAATTGCATAAAATAAAGCCAAAGACATGGAGACAGAAAGCAGATTGATGGTTTCTAGACGATGGGAAGGGTAGTGGGGTGGGGATGGGCGGGGAAGATAGAGTGGGGATGGTTGATAGGTACAAAAATATAGTTAGATAGAATGAATAATATTTGATAGCACAATAAAGTGACTATAATCCACAATAAGTTAGGGTATACTTTAAAATAACTAAAAGAGTGGAATTGGAATGTTTCTAACACAAAGAAATAATAAATGCCTGAGGTGACAGATACCCCAATTATCCTGATTTGATTAATTCATATTGTATGTCTGTATCAAAACATCCCATGTACCCTATAAAGAGATACAACTATTTTGTAGTCATAATAATTAAAAAGAAAATATGAATAAAAACTAGGGAGGGATAAATCATAGAAAAAAAAAGAAATACAGATTATTTTTAAAAAGCCAAGTAGGGACTATTTCTACCCAGTAATAGTATCTATCAAGTTTTGGTAAAATGGGAGGAAATAGGACTTTTTCCTGGAAGCAATTTGGTAGTATTTAGTAAAATTAAAAATATGCACACATTTTATACATACAGCCCTTATATGTTAGTGTTCCAGTATACATGAATTAAGACATTCACTATAGCATGGTTTTTAAGAGTGAAAACTTGAAAAATCTAGCATCCAGCAATAGGGGACTAGACAAATAAAATGTGGTATATTCATATGAGGGACTCATACAACATCTAAAAGAAATGAATTATATCTATCTCTAATCTATGTTAAGCCTATTTCAAATATATAATATTGAGTTTAAAAGACTGCAGAATGATAGGTACAATATAATATCATGTACATAAACT